GCTTCATATTCATCACAGGAAAAATCTACCAAGAGAGTGTTTACATTCTCAACATCTGTGCCCCAAATTGAAGGACTCTCACGTTCATAAAAGAAACATAATTAATGTTCACAGCACACATTCACCCTCACACATTGATAGTGAGCTACTTCAACACTCCAGTCTCACCAATGGAAAGGTCATCTAGACAGAAACTAAACAGAGAAATATTGGAGCTAATAGATACTATGATTCAGATGGACCTAACACATGCATACAGAATATTTCACATAAACACAGAGGAAATGCCTTCTTCTCAGGACATTATGAAAACTACTCCAAAATTAAGAAGTCACAAAGCAAGTCTCAACAGACACAAGCAACTTGGAACATTATAGGTCTCCCTCAGGACCCAGCTATACAGTTCCTTGGCCTATACCGAAAGAATGCTTCACTGTAATACAAGGACACTTGCTCAACTCTGTTCATAGCAGCTTTATTCATAAAAGTCAAAGACAGGAAACAACATAATTGTCCCTTAGGTGAAGAATAGAGAAAGCAAATGTACATTTACACAATGGAATATTCTTTATATGATAAAAGCAGTTCCATCAAATTTGCAGATAGATGGAAGTAGACAATATCATCTTGAGTGAGATAACAGAATCCCAGAAAGAAAAAGGTGGTATGATATCACTTATATGTGGATATTAGCTGTAAAGTAAAGATAACCATGCTGCAATCCACAGATCCAAAGAAATAAGCTGAGAATAAGCTGTGATTTTCTTTATGTTCTAAGCAACAAAGCCTATGTACACATTATTATCTATAGGTTCTTACCCTCTTAAGGGCTTTGATGAAGTGGATTTTTCATGTGAATGTATTTAATATGATTTGAAAAAAACCCAAATGACATATCTCTTTACACATCTGAATTTGTTATTACAAATATGTATACTTTCACATCAAACTATGTTAACAGGCTTGGTGATGCACACATGTAACCTCGACTAATCAGAAGAGTGAGACAGGATGAGCACAAATTCAAGGACAACCTGGGAAACTTAGTCTTTTGGAGATGTATAAAAGCTAAGATGTGACTCTGTGGTAGAGTACTTGCCTAGCATGCACCATGCTGCAGGGTCCATCTCCCACAGTGTCCACACTGAAGAATGAATGAATGACTGTACGAGTGAGTCAAAAAGAAAAATAAAAAAAGAAAGAAAGAAAGAGAAAAAATTGACATGGGATGGAGGAAGTATGGGATGGCTAGGGGTTGGGGCACAGATCAGGAGGGGGATGAAGTCTTGACTGTATAAAAGGATTAAAGTATAAATAACAAAAGATTAATACATGGACCTAATACACAATAGACTTTTTTAAAAGCCAGTAATATCCTTTCATTTACATTCTTTGAAGTACATAAATTTGAAATAATGCCAGTGCTTGAAAAAAATCTATGTGAATTAAAAATTTATATTTAATTTTCACAATATATAAATATTTCAAATCATTGTATTCCATGAGCATATATATAATGTAAGATGTCAAAAATACACAAGTTCAATTTCTTTCTTCAGGCACTTGATGTTCTTGTCATACAGATCTTTCACTTGCTTTGTTAGAGTCACACCAAGGTATTTTATATTATTTGTGACTATTGTGAAGGGTGTCATTTCCCTAATTTCTATCCCAGCCTGTTTATCTTTCAAGTAGAGGAAGGCTACTGATTTGTTTCAGTTGAGTTTATAACCAGCCACTTTGCTGAAGTTGTTTATCAGGTTTAGGAGTTCTCTGGTGGAAATTTTAGAGTCCCTTAATTATACTATCATATCATCTTAAAATAGTAAAATTTTGACTTCTTCTTTTCCTATTTGTATCCCTTTGACATCCTTTTGTTGTCTAATTGCTCTGGCTAGGACTTTGAGTACTATATTGAATAGGTAGGGAGAGAGTGGACAGCCTTGTCTAGTACCTGATTTTAGTGAGAATGCTTCAAGTTTCTCTCCATTTAGTTTGATGGTGGCTACTTGCTTGTTGTATATTGCTTTTACTATGTTTAGGTATGGGCCTTGAATTCCTGATCTTTCCAAGAGCTTTACCATGAAGGGATGTTGAATTTTGTCAAATGCTTTCTCAGCATCTAGTGAGATGATCATGTTTTTTTTTTCTTTGAGTTTGTTTATGTAGTGGATTACTTTGATGGATTTCTGTATATTGAACTATCCCAGCATCCCTGGGATGAAGCCTATTCGATCATGGTGAATGATTGTTTTGATATATTCTTGGATTTGGTTTGTGAGAATTTTAGTGAGTATTTTTGCATCGATATTCATATGGGAAATTGGTCTGAAGTCTTCTTTCTTTGATGGGTCTTTGTGTGGTTTATGTATAAGTGTTACTGTGGCTTCATAGAACGAATTGGGTAGTGTTCCTTCTGGTTTTATATTGTGGAATAATTTGAAGAGTATTGATAACAGGTCTTCTTTGAAGGTCTGACAGAATCCTGCACTAAACCTGTCTGATCCTGAGCTTATTTTGGTTGGAAGACTTTTAATGACTGCTTCTATTTCTTTAGGGATTATGGGACTGCTTAGACGGTTTATCTGATCCTGATTTAACTTTGGTGTTTGTTATCTGTCTAGAAAATTATCCATTTCAACTAGATTTTCCAGTTTTGTTGGGTACAGGCTTTTGTAGTATGATCTAATGATTTTTTGAATTTTCTTGGTTTAATTCTTAACTGAGGAATATGGAATGGCTGAGAAGCACCTAAAGAAATGTTCAACATTCTTAGTCTTCAGCAAAATGCAAATCAAAACAACTCTGAGATTCCACTTCACATCAGTCAGAATGGCTAAGATCAAAAACTCAGGTGACAGCAGATGCTGGTGAGGATGTGGAGAAAGAGGAACACTCCTCCATTGTTGGTGAGATTGCAAGCAGGTGCAAGCACAATGGAAAAATCAGTCTGGCGGTGCCTTAGAAATTTGGATATAGTACTACTTGAGGTCCCAGCTATTCCATTCCTAGGCATATACCCAAAAGATGCCCCAACATATAACAAGGACACATGCTCCACTATGTTCATAGCAGCCTTATTTATAATAGCCAGGAGCTAGAAACAAGCCAGATGTCCCTCAACAGAGGGTACAGAATGAATACAGAAAATATGGTACATTTACACAACAGAGTACTACTCAGCTATTAAAAACAATGACTTCCTGAAATTCATAGGCAAGTGCATAAAACTAGAAAATATTATTCTGAGTTTGGTAACACAGAAATGGTATGAACTCACTTATAAGTGGATATTAGGAAAAATGCTCAGAATACCCACGATATAACTTACAAACAATATGAAGCTCAAGAAATGAAGACAACAGTGTTGCTGCTTTAGCCCTTCTTAGAAGGGGAAACAAATAATCACAGGAGGTAGAGAATGGGAGGGACTTGCAAGAAAGACAGGAGGGGGAGAGGAAAAAAGAGGTGCAGGATCACATATGAGAGGAGACGGGGAGATGTACAGAGGGTCAAGAAATTGAGCAGAGTTCTGTAGCAATAAGGGATGGGGAACTGGGGATAGCTACCAGAAAGTCCCAGATGCCATGATAGCAAGAGACTCCCAGGACCCAATGAGGTTGACATTAGCTGAAATATGCAACAAAGGAGAAGGAGAACCTGTTCAGATCATATCCACAGGTTAGGCACAGACCTCGGTTGAGGGATCGGGCCACATACCCTTCTCAAAAATTCTAATCTAGAATTGCTCCTGTCTAAAAGGAATACAGGGGAAAAGAGTGGAGCAGATACTGAAAGAAAAGCCATCCAGAGACTGCCCCACCGGGGGATCCATGCCATATGCAGCCACCAAATTCAGTCACTACTGCTGATGCCAAGAAGAGTTTACTGACAGGAGCCTGATATAGTTGTCCCTGAGAGGTTCTGCTAGAGCTTGACAAATATAGAAGCAGATACTAACATTCAACCATTGGACAGAGCACAGGGACCTCCTCAATGGAGGAGTTAGAGAAAGGACAGAAGGAGCTGAAGGGGTTTGCAACTCCATACAAAAACAACAATACCAAGTGACGAGAATCCCCAGAGCTCCCAGGGACTAAACCACCAACCAAAGCATACACATGGAGGGATCCATGGCTCCAGCCGCACATATGGCAGAGGACTGCATTGTCTGGCATCAATGGGAGGGAGGCACTTGGTCCTGTGAAGGCTAAATTCCCCAGTATAGGGGAATGACAGGTCAGTGAGGTGGAAGTGGGTGGGTGGGTGGTGAAGCACCCTCATACAAGTAGGAGGAGGGAATACGAGATAGGGGGTTTCCAGAGGGGAAGCAGGGAAAGGTGATAACATTTGAAATGCAAATACATAAAATATCCAATAAAAAATACACAAGTTGATTTTTGACCCCATATAGTGATCAGAAATAATGTTTTCTAATGTAAGTCTTTGGCTTTGCCTCACAGAAATACTCTAAAATGACACTGATGTTAAATGATAAAGGGTCCTGCCCTTCCCCCAACAAACACTGAGCCCTTTGATGCTTCCTTCATATGACCCTTCATGACTTAATTATGCTTGAACTGGTTAGTCTCCCTTTACCTTAGGACCTTGAGAAGTCTCAGCTCAGTGAGTGTACACATCCTGCAGGTGTTTTAGAGGACTTCACACTTTTTCTAATTGTGTGTTTTCCTGCTAAGAATCAGGATTCCCAGGTGCCAAGTGAGAGGTTCCTGAGCCCTTGGGGACTCACAGTGACTCTGTGAAGGGGTCATAATCTAGGGCTAAGTATGTGCCACACAGTTTATCTTCTCAGGAAGTGAGGGAGCATTTGGATACTGGTGTGGCTGTATCAGAACAAAACAATGCTTTATAAACTCTATCCACATGGACCAGACAGACACATATTTTATCAGTTAGCTGATGTGCTATTGGGGTTGATTAGTCCAAGATTCTCAACTGAACAGATTTCTTGGTTTTATTAATTATTTATCAATGTTAGTATGAAATTACTCATTGCTTTCTCTCTCTGGATTGTTGTCACTGTATTCCAGGAACAAATTTCTTGTTTCTCTTTAAATATACCTGCTTCTCCTGGCTACTATCAAGATGGGGATTTTGTTATTGGAGGACTCTTTTCCTTTAAAATGGCCTCTGGAGACAATAGAAGTGTGTTGGACTTTAATGATACGTTGTGTAATCCGGAAGCTGTTTCTAAGTAAGTGTTTGGCTTCTCTCTTTAAAAAAAAATACGTTTCAGGATTTCATACGTATATACAATGTATGTTGATCTCACCCATCTCTACTCCTTTCTCTCCCATATGTCCTTTCTTCAGCTCTATGAGGTCTCTTCATCTCTCTGTCTGTCTCTTTCTGTCTGTCTCTCACACACTCTCATTTTTTAATCTACTGAGTTCGTTTAGGCATGCCAATACTACATTAGTATAGGACATTTTCTAGAGTCTAGGCAAGCTACCAGGGGAAATCTCCTAATGAAACTGAATCTCCCTTCCCCAGGAGCCTCCAAGTGCCAATAGTTACTGAGCCATGACACTGTGTGTCTCTCTCCTACTCACGCTGAGTTCTCTTAAACATGTAAGAAGGTATTGAAAGCACTTTGTAGTAAAATACAATTTTTCTTTGTAGTTATTTAGTGACTTGTACTGAGAACATGTTATTTTTCATGTTTCATTGTACTTGACACTATTTTCTTTCACTTGCTATGGTTGATCAGCACTGTGAATTTTTCTTAGGTTTATTATATTTTCAAAGACCACATGAAATATGAAGCTTTAATGTTCACTATTTCCCACATACTTTAATCCTCCATTTTAATTTCTCAGACACAAATTGCACAGTAAAAAGTGAAAATTGTACGTTTGATAGTATATGGTGGTGTAGACCTTTAATCCTAGAACTTGAGAAACAGAGACAGGTGGATCTCTGTGAGCCTGAGTTTAACCTATTGTACATAGTGAATTTAAAGTCAGCCTGGGTTGAATAAGTGAGACACTGTCTCAAAAAAATTCAAAAATAAAAATTGTGAATTTGATAGTAAGTTGTTCTATGAATCTTCTTTTTATGACTCTTTTCTCTCACATTTTAAATATAGGATATCCTGCTTATTTCTTGGAATATCATGAATATTCTTATATGTCTTAGACTGCTATAAATAAAAATCCAGAATTTGAGAGTTAGCATGGAAGGAACTGCATAGAGAAAAGAGAGGGATGTAAAGGATATAATTACCATCTAATTAAAAATTAATATTAAAAATGTAACATAAAAGTGGTCTTTCCTATTTTTCCTCCTAGGGATCTCACTAAACATTATCAGCACATGTTGGCAATGGTTTTTGCTATAGAAAATATTAACAAGGACCCAAATATTCTATTCAACATGTCCCTGGGATTCTATCTCTTCAATGATGACTTTTTTGAGATGAATGCTGTGGTGACTTCTATGGCTTTGCTCTCAGGAGAGAGCCCCCCAGTTCCTAACTACAGCTGCAGGCCTGAGAAGACTGATAAGCTGGTTGCTGTGATAGGAGGCATGTCAACAGGAATATCAACTCAGATCTCCCGAGTTCTAAGTGTCTACAATGTCCCACAGGTATGCAGAGTCATGGTTCTTTAGTCAAACATAATATCATAGCAATTAATGCTAAGTAATTCAATTATTGTTTAGTAATGAGGTATGAGACTGCTTAATAATTTACTTTTTGACAGCATTTTAAACTCTGAAGTATAATTTATTTATAAGATGAAATCATGTTTATATAATAAACTTAATTTCAAAACTTTAAAATTGAAAAAATATAAATAAAAGTAATGACAGCCTGTATCCTTACCCCTCCAAGAAAAAATTCCCTTTGCTATTTACCATTGTTAATACTGTCTTTCTGTTGTATCCAGTTTGAGAGCATCACAAAGCACGAAAACTATAATAATTTTACTAATATCTCTTCACAGTAACTACTATGGACATATTTCTGGCTATTTTACTGTGGTATCAGCTCAGATAGCCACAGAAGATTCATTTTTACTAAGAACCATGGGTCAGACTTATTGTGGCTGGACATTTGGGCTGTTTGTAATTTTCCTCTGTTGACAGGAAAGTTTTTACTTTTATTTTTGTTTAAAATCTTTCTGTTGATTAATAATGATTTCTTATAAACAATGGCACAGAGCTAGCATGTATATGTCAATTACATCTTAGTTAGTAATAAACGAGGGAAGAGCTACTTAGAAATATATTCGTTTACAAATAACAGTGATCCAGCCCTTAGTGTTTCCTACTGTCCTCAGTGAAGAAACTTAAATCTTAATAAAATGAATTAGGCTGCCATGTTGATTCATCTTTATTATTAATTTTTTACCTATTTGTTTATTTTTGAGACAGATTCTCAGTATGCCAACTTGCCCATTCTTGAACTTCCTATGTAGCCTGGGATAGCCTTACAGAAATCCTCTTGCCTTTGCTTGCCCAGGGCTGGGATAAAAGTCATGTTCCATCATGCCTGACCAGATTTTTATTTTTATGAGATTTTATGAGTTAATTTTAAAAAATTGGTTATTTTATTTGTTTACATTTCAATGTTGTCCCCTTTCCAAGTCTTACCTCCCTCAAACCTCCATTTCATTGCCCCTCTTCTTTGACTCTAAGAAGGTACCTCCCCAAACACCCACCCCCTCTTGCCTCACCTTTCTAGCATCTCCTTTGCTGGGGCAACAAGCCTCCACAGGACCAAGTGTACCCCCTTCCTTTGGTGCCAGATAAGGCAGTCCTCTGGTACCTATGTAGCAGGAGCCATAGACCCTCCTATGTATACTTTTTGGTTGGTGGTTCAGTCCATGGGAACTGTTCTTCCTATGGGGTTGCAATCACTTTCAGTTCCTTCAGTCCTTCCCCTAACTCTTCCACTGGGGTCCCTGGGCCCAGGTCAATGGTGAGTATCTGCATCTGTCTCAGTTAGGTGCTGGCAGAGCCTCTCAGAGAGCAGCTGTACTAGCTCCTGTCTGCAGTACTTGGCATCAGCAATAGTTTTGGTGTTTGGTGTCTGCAGATATGATAGATCCCAAGGTGGGACATCCTCTGGATGGCCTTTCCTTGCATCTCTGTTCCATTTTTTTGCCCTTAAGTTTCCTTTAGACAGAAACAATTCTGTGTTAAAAATTTTGAGATGGATGTGTGGCCCCATCCCTCAACTGGCAGCCATACTTATCTTCTGGAGGTGTTCTCTTCAGGTTCTATCTCTCCTCTGTTGGTTATTGCAGCTAATGTCAGTCCAATTGGGTCTTTGGAGCTTCTCACATCCCCTGCATTTGGGACTTTCTGGAGGTTCCTCCCACTACCTTGTTCCCTACCGGGGAGTATTCTGAGTTTTGGGGCTAATATCCACTTATCAGTGAGTATATACACCACATATGTCATTTTGGGTCTGGGTAACCTCACTCAGGATGATATTTTCTAGTTCTATTTATTTGCCTGTAAAGTTTGTGAAGTCATTATTTTTAAGAGCTGAGTAGTATTCCATTGTGTAAATGTACTACAGTTTCTGTATCCATTCTTCTGTTGAGAGACATCAGAGTTCTTTCCAGCTCCAGCCCATTATAAATAAGGCTGCTGTGAATATAGTGGAGTACATGTCCTTGTTATAGGTTGGAGCATGTTTTGGGTATATGCCCAGTTGTAGTATAGCTGCATCTTCAAGAATTTTATTTCTTTTACATATGTTACTTTTGAAATATGCTTATTATGGCATTCATGATGAATATAACTATTTATAAGAAATGTGTATATACATTTCAAAGATTGCCCCTTTCCTGATCTCCCTCCCAGAGTTCCTAACCCCATCCCCCCTACCCTTGGTCTTTGAGAGGGTGCTTTTTCACCCCCACAACCCCCCGATCATGCCCTTCAACATCACCCTTTGCTCAGACTTCCCAGTCTCTAAAGGATTAGGCACATCCTCTCCTACTGAGGCCTGACTAGGCAGTTCTCTGCTACATATGTGCTGTGGGTCCACAGACAAACCCATGGATGCTCTTGGGTTGACGACATAATCTCTTGGAGCTCCCAGGGCTCTGGGTTAGTTTATCTTCTTGGTCTTCCTACGGGGTTGCCAGCCCCTTCAGCTCTCTCAGTCCTATCCCTAACTCTTCCATAGGGTTCCCGACCTCATTCCAATGAGTGGCTGTAAGTATCTGTGTCTGTCTCAGTCAACTGCTGATAGAGCCTCTCACTGGACAACCATGCTAGATTCCTGTCTGCAAGTGCAACATGGTATCACTAACAGTGCTGTGGTTTGGTGGTCAGTCATGGGTTGGATCCCAAGTTGTCTAATCACTGGATGACCTTTCCTTCACTCCCTGCTCCATTTTGTGCCCGCATTTCTAATAGACAAGAAGAATTCTCAGTCAAAATTTTGAGGGTTGTTTAGTGACTCTATCCCTCCACTGGGTGCCCTGTCTTTTTCACTAATTCTAATTAAAAGTAATTTTGTACTTTTTGGCTAATATTCACTTATCATTGAAGACATACTTTTCGAGTATGTCCCCTTGGGTCTGGGTTACCTCACTCAGGGTGATATTTTCTAGTTCTATCCATTTGCCTGCAAAATTCTTGATGTTCTCATTTTTAGTAGCTGAAATTCAATTTTTTCTCTTCCACTTGTGGCCAGTAGGCTGCCTGTGGCCACTGACGGTTATGCACACGGCCTAACCCAACAACTTCAATGTACTCACGACATCCTGAGACATGTTTGTCATTTCTTTTAGTCATCCACTTGCACACTTTTTAAGCATAAACTGTGGAGCTGACAGTGCTGTACTGCAGACCGTATTCTGTACATGTTTCCTTTCCTTTACCATGCTGGCATTTTTGTTTGAGTTTTTCCATGTAGAACAAGTAAACATCTCTAGTCTATGCAAATGAATCCCTAGTATAAGCAAATTATTCCAACTTTGCATATGACAGATCTGCCTTTCTTTCCCTTTTTCCTTTTCTCCAGCCTGATCGCTCTATGTCTGTTCTCAATCAGTTCTGTATTTAGGTCCTCTGTTTCCTAAGGCTCACATCTTTGTTTCTTGATTCATTTTCACATTTTCCAGAGAGCATCCTTGAGTTGAAGAAAATTTACAAAGGTTGTTCAGTGGTGATTTTTCATTTGACTGACTTTGATTTTAATTTTCAGCAAGTTTATTTAATTATCTTTTTTTTCAGATTTTTTTCCTCCACATTTTAAAATTTCTCCACCAAATACCTATTTGCTAAGTTCTTTTTAGATTGAGAATTGATTGTCTTATTGCAATTACCTGCTTATGTGAGCCCTGCTTGTGATTATTTGTGAATATTGGTTATTCTACACAACAAAGGAACTCTGGCATCCACTTTCATGGCATTTTTCTTATTCTCTTTGATATCTAGTACTGAGGAATTATCATTTCATGGAGGTGCCATAGTTGCTTGTTCTTTTTCTCGCTTAGTCTCCCTCCCCCATCTCTGTCTATGTCTCTGTCTCTCTCAATCTCCCTCTCTCTTTCAGTGTGTGTGCCTTCCTGTGTGTGAATGTGTCTGTGTGTGCATGAGTGTGTGATTGTGTTTGACCATATGTATGTGTGTGTTTGGGGGGGCACAGGTGTGTGCAGTTGTGGGTGTGTATAAGTGTGTTTGTGTGTGTGTATGTGTGTGATCATTTCCATGTGTGTGTGAGTGTGTGTATGTTTGTGTGGTATGTGTGGCACACATGGTGTGTATCAGGACTGTGCAGGTAGGCATGTCAGTACATCTGGAGGTCAGACAGTCTTCCTCCATCACTTTCTACACTGCTGCCTCCAATCAGGGTCTTTTACTGAACTGGAAGCTTGAGATTTTGAGCTGAGGAGTGAGCAGGCTCTAGGGATTTACCTGTCTCTGTCCTGCTATGTTAGGGCACAAGCACACACAGAGTGTCTGACTTGTTATGGGGATTCTGAGGATTCTAATGCAGGCCTTGAGCCACCTCCTCAGCATCATGATTATATTTGTATATAATGCATGTATCTTACAAAATAATGGATTTGTCATGACATCTTCATGCATGTATAGCACTGTAGTTTACTCTTCCGTCCCCTCAGGCTTGGCCTATCAGACTCCACAGTTACAGTCTGAGTCTGAGGTCAGCTCCTAGTCAGCAAGACAGTGAACTAAGTCCTCCCTCCATAAACTGTCTGAGCCAAGCCTCCCCCTAACTCTTCAGTTTGTTATCATCGTGATCTTCCATTTCCACACATGTCTCCTGAGGCAGCCTCACACAGGCCTGTCCATGTGCTGCAGCCTCTGTGAGGGGCTGTTCCTCCCCATTCTCAGCCTCCACAGTAGGTCAGTGGGAGACAGTCAGTTCTCTCCTGAGTCATAGGGAGTGACAAAGTAAAGCTCTTCTGCTTTGTCAGCCCACGTCCTTGAGTAACAGCATCTTCTGAGAGCAACACCTGGATTGGAGGCCAGAAAGAACCCTGGACTTGTCCTGTCTGCAGGACAACAGGTCTCTCCACCACAGACCCTTGTCATATCTTTGAAATTCAATTTGTCACACTTCAGATATATATTTTTTAATTTATGGTTTAAAAGTA